CCCCCCCCCCCCCCCTTCCTTCTCTATCCAAAAAGGATTTTCTGTTTGTTTACTCATTTTTTTCTTAAACTCCCCAACCCTGAGACATTTGTGGAATGGCAGGTGAGGCGACAGGAGCACTGTATAGCTCAGGTCGCATCTCTCCCTCCCTCTCTTTAATGCCTAGAGAGTAGGCGTTGTGGATGACATGCTGCAAGGTAAGTTTGATATACTTTGCAGTAGCCCTCTGCACACAACGCTCAGATATTTAATGATAATTTACATACCCAGTGCAGTGTGTAAACGATCACCTTGCCCAGAGTGGGGCTTTAAGAGCTACTTCACACCAGATGCAGTCCATTCAGTTTGGTAGCTGCATCCAAAATGCATCACAATGCTTTCCTATGGGATTTCTGGTGCTCTGTTCACACCTGTGCAGTCTGTTCCGATGCAGTCAGAAAAAAAACTGCATGCCCTACTATAGCTGCATCGCATTTCAATGAAACATCAAAACGCACAAAACATGCATGCAATAGCACCTGAAATCCCATTTTAAGCAACCCCCCCCAAAAAAATTGCAGCACAACACTTGGTACGCAGTTCTGATGTGAACTAGCCATAAAGCTAGGCCCAGCCTAATGACAAAAAGCTCATCAGTGATTGGCTAGTTCACACCATTGCATTCAGTTTCAGAGCTTGTATAAAAAACAAAAACAAAAACAAAAAAACAAAAAAAAACCTTGTACAGCAGTATGGGTTTTTTTTGGCGCCGGAACACACAAAAATGCATGTATAAGCACCGGAAAATGTTTAAAACCATGCAAAACCACTTCTAAAAAAAAAAAGGAGAGAAAGAAACATAGCAGAACGCACCAACGGGTATGTGAAAACGCATCCAGTAGATGGTTTGAACAAGCCCTTAGGCAGAGGGCCCATTAGCACCACGTCCATCAGGCTGCAATACTCCACACAGGCCCAACGCAAAGACAATCTGCAATCCATTGCTTCCAGTAGGCCCAGGTTTCAGCATTGAATAGTGGGAATGTGTGCTGGGTAAAAATGGAGCATGCTGTATTTAAATGCAATGCAACAGACTAAAACGTGCCGCAGTGAAAAGTAAAAGACAAGAAGAAAAAACAAAATAAAGTATTTTGGATTTTGCTTTGGGACAATAATGCCCAAAATTTAAAAAAAAACAAAAAAAAAAAACACACGTCAATTTAAGCGCATTTAATTGTGTCAACGCACTAAACGCAAAGCATGTGACGTGAGCCTAGCCTGAGGGAACACATCCCTACATCTGGAAAAAGACTGCAGATTGACTTCTATAAATTGGACAGCATTCCCTTCCTGCAGCGTCATTAGGATTCTGAGCGGAGTGGAATCTGCTTCTACACAAATCCTATTAGAGAATGTTTCTTCTTCTTGTTACCTTTTTGGCAGACAAGTAGCGGTTCTGTAAGGCGGAGGTCTGCAGTCGGCACGGTTGGTTTCTCATGCACAGGATATGCAACTGTCGGCAAGCCTTGTGGAACTGGACCAGCCGCTCTACTTGGAGCAAAATATTCCTATTCATTTTCCTGGAAGGACAGAGTCCGAAGTACAGAAAAGGTTTAGACTTATACAGCATATAACGAAGCGACGTAGAAGACATGGGGGCTAGTCACACTGTTCCCACATCACCCAATAAGGAGAATCTAGCACCTTTTATTTTTGCATCATCTCCATGTCTCCTCTCGCACAGCATTTCTACAGCAAAATCTGTTTTGTCACATATTCTAGTGTGATAAATCTCCTTTCAGGCTTTTTGTCATCTGTGTCCTATGGAGGACATTTTCATTAATTTCCTGTCCTATAGACACAATGGAAGACATCTCTCCAAAGTGATCGCCTGTTAGACAATTGTCATGGAGTGTGTCCCCATTGGGAGATTTCCCCTCTATTGTTGTTGTTCTGGAGAAAAAAAACTTACAGATCACCAGGACAAAGAAAGAGTAAATCTAGGTAACATGGCCCAAAAAAAAAAAATAGCCTGATAGACAATAACCCCTAACCTCTCTATCCAAAACTAAAAAAAAAAAGTGGCGAGTTATAAAATATTCGCACAGCAAAGAGCTATGCAAAATACATTTGTTGCACATTATGGCCACTAGATGGAGTCCAAGAGCACAGGAAATTCCTATACTCTTCAGCTCCATCTAGTAGCCATAATGTGCTGTGAATAGCTTTCTCATGTGAATGGTTTATAAATCAAACAGAGCTAATTCTTACACTACACACACAGTGCGCTCTCTTCCCCTCAGCCGCAACAGCGGCTGAGCTCAGAATGGAAGAGAGAGCACTGCGCATGTGCAGTGTTTGAAGGAGCCGCAGCTGCCAATGGAAGAGAAACAGCAAACGGCACATGTGCAGTGTTGGAATGGGCTGCTGGCTCATTCATTCTGTGTTGGGAGCGCACAGGCCCATCTGGCAGTGTATAGGGATGGAGCGGGATCACCTAGCAAGGAGTTGCGTGGTCAGGCCATGAACGGCCCTGAGGTTTTTTTTTTTTAAAGCTGGACAATGATTTATATTCGGCAGACCAGTTTGTTGGTGAACTAGCCCTTCTAAGAAAACAGTGTTCAGTCGTGTTTAACATACACTGAGTAATATTCAGACTTCTCTTCTATACCTGTAATAGGAATTATCACTTTATTATTGACTTCATGGAGATTTACTAACAGGGTTATTCACAAAAGGGTGAAGAGTTTGGAGAAGACAGGAGAAGGGAACTATCTAGGACAACATAGCTGAACTGGAGAATTTTTCTATGCTGTCCTAGATTGTTCACTTCTCCCGCCTCCTCCAAACTCTTCACCCTTTTGGGAATAACCCTGTTAGTGTTTTCAGGGCTGATTTGAACTTCTTCATGTTCATATTAAAGTGAATCTGTGTGATCAGAAAACAAAAACTGTTGGTTATTCTGCTTTGTAATAGTCATTAAGTAGTGAACCCCAGACAAGCATGCAGCGTGTTCGGTCTGCATATTTGCTCAGCATGTCAGTGACCCCCAATCCATAGAGAAGCCGGACTGTGAGTGACAACCCCCGGAGTCTGCGCCTCTATGTAGAAAGCAGTGGGAGTTTCAATATTCCTATCCTCATAGACTGAGTATAAAGGGAACCTGTCATGTCATTGCCTGCGACAGTGGGGGCTGCTATTGGCCCTCTCCTGGATGTAGGGGGTAGCTCCAGGACAGAGCACCCCTGTACAGGAAAATTATGTTTTATATATCGTACCATCACTGCAGGCTGCAGCCCATCGTCACATTATGTCAATATTATTTATAAGGCATTGAATCTGACATTCACTGCAGGAGAATCTTCCGGGAGCATGTGTTTCACATGACAGCAATTGATTCACCACCACTGAATGGTAAACATGCCCCATCAAGTCAAAACAGTGCGGAGGGATACAATAGTCACTGCTAAAAACAAAATATAGTGCAATTATCACAGTACCTCTCCTGTTTTCAAGTTCCTCTGCCGGTCACTGCACAGAGAGAGAGAAGAAATCAAGGCGACTCATCACGCTTTGCATCTTCACTCAGAACACCCGGCTCCAAGGTCTCTCACTCTGCAGGAACCAAGCCTCAATCTGGATAAAGACTGGCCTCGATCTGGATAGCAGCAGCCAATCCGCGATCTGAATACAACCAAGCCTCGATCTGGATAAAACCAAGCCTCAATATGAACAGCAGCAGCCGATCTACGATCCGGATAACGTCAGGCCTCGATCTGGACAGCAGCAAGCGATCGATCAAAACTACGAACTTATCGAGTTGTGGGACCGCATTACTTCCGGTTTCCTCACAACTATGAGGTTTTTACACAAAACATGTTGTGCACGAGCGCCATCCACGGCATTGCCCTATAGACATAGACCACAGCAATAAAGTAATAAAATGATGTAGGATGACAGTAAGCTAGCACGTTCTTTATCTCAGGTGCCCCACTCAAGCGGCGGCCATATTGAGTGGGGCACCGGAGATAAAGAACGTGCTGGCTTACTGTCATCCTACATCATTTTATTACTTTATTGCTGTGGTGTATGTGTATAGGGCAATGCCGTGGATGGCGCTCGTGCACAACATGTTTTGTGTGCAAACATCGTAGTTCTGAGGAAACCGGAAGTCATGCGGTCCCACAACTCGATAAGTTCGCACTTTCGACACATCACCTGACCAAGTCAAGCCTCGATCTGGATGAAGACATGCCTCGATCTGGAGAGCAGCAGCCAATCCAGATAAATCCAATCCAGAGATAAAGCCAATCCTCAATCTGAATAATATTATGCACGGCTGCATGTGTGCATATGGTAGTTCGAGTAAAGAATTCCTTTAAATCTGTTTATAAAAAGCAGCCCTACTTCTGTTGTAGAAAATAACATTTTAAAAACATTTACTGATGTCTGTGTTATCTCACAGACGTCCCCTCGCTGGTTGCTGGCACTTCAATGAAACAGATGGATAGACAAGCAACATTATATACCGCTCTCTCTCTTTGTTCTAGGTCAGGGTTGGGCAACCTTCAGAACTCCAGCTGTTGTGGAACTACAAGTCCCATTAGGCATTGCAAGACTGAGTCCCAAAGGTGGAGGCATAATGAGGTTTGTAGTTTCACTATGACTGGAGTGCCAGTGCCCTGCTCTAGTCCCTCTACCCAACATGTTTCACACCAACTGGTCCCTCATCATGAGGAGGTAACAACCCTGACCAACCACCTAAAAGGATTCCATCAATTAACCCTTAAAGGGGAAGTATTGTCATTGTAAAATGTACTCCTCCCGATCCTTAGAGCCGTTGCGGGACACTGCAGCTGTCAGACGCTGGCTCTATATACCGAGAGCTGAGTGATCATGCGACTGATCACTCAGCTCCTGGTCTCCTTCCCGCAGAGAGCGATAACACTGCACCCCATAAGGATTCTCTCCTCTCCTCTCTGCTCCTTCAGTGCTCAGACAGGGGAGGGGGCGGGCACAGCTGGCTCTGGCTCTAGAGTGGCAGAGCCAGCTGTCAATCAGGCAGCAGGGTGGATCCTGAAAATACTGATCTGATTGTGGATGTGGATCACACTGATGGACCTTCTCAGAACAGTCCGACACACTGTGACTTGTCAATCCGTTTCTTAAATGGAATATATTTCTTGTCTTGACAACACAAGGAGGTCAATCCGTAATATTTCTGGCACGTTCCTGCAGTCATTTCTTACATTAGACATTTTGTCCTTCCCACATTCCAGAGGTTTCAATCACATGAGAATAAATAAATCCCAGTTTGTGTCACAGATCGTGAGTTGCCTCACAGCGTTCTCCTGCCCCGTATCAGATGATTTAATGCTGGAGATGTTCTTCTGTCATCTGCTCGATTTCTACACTCCACACACCTCCTACATCGCTGGGAACCCTTTTCTCCACCAAGAAGATGACTTAGAACAAGTTCCTCCATTTTATTACAACAATGAGCCGTTGTGAACAGCAAATTAGGGATTTCTGCTGCAGGAAAACGCAAATTCCTGACACAGGAATCCCTTACTGCACTTAAACATACAGGTGTGAATGGGGCCTTAAAGTCTGCCATAATAAGTGTATGTATAAAGTCACTCGCACTCCAATAGAATTTCAAGTCAAAAACGGTTTATAAACTCGATTGCTATCACATCATATTGCGACGTTTCAAACAACATTCTGTTTGCCTGACGAAGGAACTGCTGTTTTTCCGAAAAACGTCGCTATATGATGTGATAGCAATCGAGCGACGCCTATGGCCAATTTTGGGTATTGTAGATTGTGACCCCGTCTCTTATATTTTACCAAAAATTGGGTAATAATAAATGTTTTAAAATTTAATATTGGGGAAAGTTTTTTTTTTTTTTACATTTTCTGAAATTTTTCCTTAACCTCTTGCCGTCCGCCCGTAGTAAAAAAACGGACGGACGGCACTGCTGCATTGGCGGGCAGAAAAGATCCGACCAATGCAAACACCCGTTACCGGGTATTTCACATATAGGCGATCAGCGGGTCCATATGTGCTCATTCATCGCCCGCCGCAAGAAATGCAGGTATGCGGCATTGTAATGTTTGAATCATGTGCCCGGGCGGGAGGTGGCCACAGACCCGGGCACATGATTCCAAACCCGGGTTGTACGGGTGGCAACCCTAAATACAATTCAAGACAAGCGGTAAGGAGGGCCCTGCCCCTGAGGGCTAACAGTCTAAAAGTTGAACGATGAGGGAAATTTATCAAAATTGCAGCAAACAGAATGTGGCGCAGTTGCTCATAGCAACCAATCAGCTCCTCTTTTCAGTTTGAAAATAAAAGGGAGAAGCTGATTGGTTGCCATGGGCAACTGCTCCACATTCTGTCTGTGGAGCATTATGTTTGCTGTTTGCAATATCCCTGATTGTGTTATAAACAAAGAGGCCGATCTCAGTAAACTTTAGTAGCACCACTGAAAATTGTCCATGTATCATATCCTATATGTTTGGGAAGGGAACAAATGTAAAGGATTCGTTCCTCCCACATGATTTTCATTTCTAGTTGTCAGTTGTCATGTATGATAAAGTTTATTGAGGACAGAAAAAAAGTGATTTCATTTGAAGCCACGCCCAGTCGTTGGAAAAGAGAAGGCGGCGAAGTTGCGGCATGTCTGTCAGTCTGCGGGATCAATTGCAGCAATACCTCCAGGAACTGGGCATCCAGCCTGTGTGTGTAGAGCACCCTGAGGTGGGTCGGATGTGCAATGTGTCACCCTGCAGGTCCGTGTTTTGTAAACGGAAGAGCAGCTTGTGCTCACTGCTGAGTGCCACGTGTCCTTATCTGGACTGACCACTAGGGGGCGCTGCAGCACTACTGAAAATAAACCTGGTCACGTGCAGCTTTGTGAACCAGACAAGGCAAAAAGTGACCAGCATGGCCTTCCATTTTATATTCTGCTGGAGATAGGTGCAAGGTACCCAAAGCACCTTCAACTGAATTCATAAGACTTTAGTATGCATATCCCATATAAGGAAAGTTAAAGTATGACACCATGCAGAAGGTTTAAGGTGTATGTATAGCCAAAACCTTTTCTTTAGTTTATGATAGAATAGGGGAGGGCGAACCCCCTGCTAGTTAGAACTATAAAATGTATATAAATATATTTATGTCCATTGGGGACATAAGCTGTTCATGATGCTCCTTTCCTCTCTGTGCACCATTGGCAGAACTTCACTTCCTGTCCTAGCGATGCAACAGGAAGTTAGAGGAAATCTCCCAAAGTTATGGGAATTCCCCTGTTAAATCTGTCCCCAGAAACAGTGTCATTAGTGGAAGACTTTCCCCCTATTTCTGTTCTGGGGATAAATCTAAAATATAGGATGCTAACCCCTTACTCTCTTTCTCAGTGACAACGGTCATCAGTTCAAATAAAGGGCTAATCTC